TGAGAATGATAATCTAAATATTACTTGAGAATAATCAATCATACTCAATGCAAGAGATAATATATTAAAAGATATGTATCAAGCATTGAAAATCGTTTGCAAGAGCTTGATTATGTGAGTGATTTTCCCCAATACTGGATTGTATTTTTATGTGCAGTTTGATAATATCATGAAAATTTTCTATTGTTTTAAACAAATTCTGCTCTATGATAAAATATATATATAATTATTTATTCAAAAATTATAACATAAACATGTTATAAAATCACTACAAAAATAGCCATTTTGTTTCAACACTTCTAGTGTCTTATCAAGTGATGGCATTGAATGTAGAATAAAGGGTTTTAAGAGGCTCAAATCAATCAAACATCCCTTGCAAGGGGAAACACTGTTACATAAGCTGGAATGACCAATCAAAATACAAGTATATGAGAATTCAAAAAAAGTGTGTATATATATATATATATATATATATATATATACACACACACACACACACACACTAAGGCAATGTTTATTAAATTTTTGTACCTACTTTAATCTCAAACAAAATATTTTATTATTTACATTATTCGTACTGTTGTCCTCATCTTTATGCAAATAATTAAAAAACATATTATACTCAAATATTTACAAAAGAATTATAATATTTCATAATTTCCACAGCATAAAATTTAATGATATTTTTTTAATTTCAATATAAAATAATGCATTATTTCAGATCAAAGTGGGCATAAAAATTTAAAAAGTATTGCCTTGATATATTTTTAGAAATATAATAATTTATTTATAATAATAGAAATGTGATACAGAATGAATTAAAAAGATGATTAAGAAGCAATGAGGAGAACCCAGAATAGAGTTCAATAGAAGATTGAACATTAATGGCCAAATGCTCCCCTGGGAGCAAAAGAGCTTAATAATAACAAATATATGAATTTAAATAGTGCAAATTTAAATAGCCCAATGACAGCACAAATTTAAAAACCAAACTCTGCTTATCTCAATGACAAGACCACGAAAGTGACATACACAGAATCCTTACTTAAATTCCATTTTATTAAGCCATTAATTGAATTATATAAACTCAGTGACTGATCCAGTTGAGAACATCTATGGGGTCCAAATACCTACAGTATTTGAGCAAAGCAGTTTTTATATATACCTTGATTAAAAAAAAAAAAAAAAAAAAAAATTGGTTTGACTACTATTTAAACAGGTACATGGTCCTGGAGGAAGACTTTAATAAAACAGTTGACTAAATGGAATTGATAAACACGCATACAGTACTGATGATGACAACAACAAAAAAATGAATTTAAAGCAAACCTAAGAATTACATCTAATAATTTAAATAAAATAATCTTGTCTATTATTGTGCTCAATCCACTTTCAATAAAGAATTATGTTAAATCTAATTAATGTTAGATAAAGTAGTAATAATAGTTCAATTATGGCAATTCAATTGTTCAATGAGGCTTGAGGTGTACTTGTCAAAATATTGTGATGACATTGTGTTACTATTTTAGTCAGACTTATTCCATTCATCTTTCTCCAGGACCATGTTTCTTTTTTATAAATACTTTCATAGTAATTGTTTAGATGAACTCTTTGCTATGGTATCTAAACTTTATGAATTTAAGTGCAGTACTGGATTAGCAACAAGGTTTCATTGATTTACAGTTGAATTGGCTAGATGTAACTGTAAGTTCTATGCTAAGAATTTCTTTTCTTGCACTTCTTGCTTGTGGAACTCTTCAGGTTCCATGCTTTCCAGTCAACTTTAATCTTCAAAAATTTTAATTCAATGTCAAATCATTATCAACTGTCTTCTTGATTATTTCTTCCATTGTTCTTAATAATGTTTCTCTTTTTTCTCATTCTTTTACACTCAGTAACCCCTTGTGTCTTAGTGGCTTTACAACCTTGCTTGAGGTGAAAAGAATACAAAAAATATTCCAAAGTAATTCTAAATTAATCATAAAAAAAAAGTCCCACCAATACCTTTATAACTCTATCTTCTCTTAATGGGTCATTTCAAAGCTAGCCTGTCTTGGTATCTGGATGACCCACCCCTAGCTCAGGTATGTTTCCAACTCTGATTCTGCGGATTTGATTTTTGGGCAACAACCTTATTGTTTAACCCTCTACCATGAGTGTCTCTTGTGTGAAAAATAGTAAAAAGATTTTTTTTTTTTATTTACATTCCAGCCTGCTCAAAATTCTGTATCTGCTCCTGAAAGCATTTAAACTAATTTTAGCATGTTTATTGTCAATGTATAAACACTGAAGCTACAACCACATCAACTCAAAATTAAACAAGTGTCCAACGTTTCAGGTTGACACACAAAGTTTATATTTGTGACATTTTCAATTTCAAGGCATACCAGATATCTACTAGCTGTTACTGACAATATTATGTAATTACAATCTTGCTTTACAGTTTACTTTTCTCTTTATTATCAGTAATATATATGTATATGTGTCTGGCTGTCCCAGTAAAATTTATGACACATTTGAGAGCTGAAAGTTATTTATTGTATACACTTGTTTGGTTATAGATTTTTAACTACATTTTATATAGACGTTACTACCGAAGTGTTCAGTGAAGTTAACCTTTTAGTGCTTATTGTCTTACTAGGGCAGTCCCTGCCAGTTAAAAAAAATATGAAGAGCCACATTTTGAAGAAAATTAAACGTACTGTAAAATTAAATTTTTAAATTATTGAGTAAAAAAAATGGTGCAAATGCACTAATGCATCCTAAAGGGAGATATGTTCTTTTTTAATAATTTAATCTCAAGCAAGGTAATAAAGCCACTAATATTCAAAGGGTTACAGGATGTTAGAAAATATGAGAAAATAAAAAAACATTAAGGAGAGAAAACAAAGAACAGGAATTAAGAAGACAGAAGATAAATGTAATCGTTATCTCGACTTAACTCCAGCTTTTTTTATTGTTCTCTCTTCCTAATAATTTTTTTTTTCCTCATTCTCTCACACTCAGTAACCCCTTGCATTTTAGTGGCTTTATTGACTTGTTTGGGATGAAATGATTACAAAAAAATTAATCGTGTCACAATTCAACATGGCTGCAACTGCTGCAGTAACATTAAATAACAAAAGAAATACAATGGGCCATATTTCCTTTTTCTAAGCCATCTTTCAGATATTCTTATTTAAAGTGTTACTGTTTTCTTTTCATCTATCTGGTATGACCTAATACATTTAATATTGATATTTACTTGCATTGATTAGAAAAAAAATGTCTGGACAAGAAGACATAAAAACGTATCAATCCATGCTAATAAATATAAATTTGTAGGTTTTGTAAAGCATATGCAATATCTACATAACTTTAATATTAAGAAATAAAAAAAGAACAGAAAACATAAAAAAAAAAACAAAGTACTGTTCATGCACAGGTACATAATTCATAAAATCTATAAAAAAAAAAAAACCCAAACAAACAATAATTGTTTTAATGAATTCCAATAAGAACTCTTCATCCTTTAAATATACTGATTTTCCAAGCGTAGCTCAGATGTGGCACAAGGCCGAAAGTATGGGGCACCCAGTGAGGATCAAACTCACTACTCAGTCATAATTGTTCTAGCCAGACAAGCTTGCTAACCATTACACCACCTCGAGGTGCCCATCATCATTTAAATATATATTATAAACAATTTTCTTAAACTCACACACAAGAAGTCTATTTTCTTTATATCTTCAAGACTACCTTTCCGCTTTCTTTACAAACATCACCATTGTACAAAATCACTTTTAAACCTTTCTGTTCATGAAAAGATTATTATACAAGGGGATGCTGAAAAGTTCTCAGTCTGACCGACTTCCCAAAATGTAACCAAATGACTGGACATCTAAATTCTTTTTAATCTATTTTTGGTGAAACCAAGAACTTTTCAATACTCATTAATATTTACTAATATATGCCTTTTTTCAGTCACAACCAAATAATGTTGCTATATCTTTAGTCAGACTAGTACATTTATCTTGTTTCAAACTTTTTACAATTATTACTACTTGGATAGTAGTTATGGGAAAGTGGCTTACCCAAGTAAACCTACCCATCTTAGGTTTAGTTTTGTTGATTTTGTGACATGTCAATCACTTTGTAGGTTATCTAATGTGGATTTTTGTATTAGTCATCTAGTGAGGATCAAGCTCATTTCTCAGTAGTAATGGCCAACCAGATTTATCTTACTCCATGCCAATTATTGGTGGGTTGATTTTACAACATGCCAACACTTGTTGGGTTATTTAACATTGAATTTTGTATAGGACACTTAGTGAAGATCAAACTCACTAAGTAGTAATGGTCAATCAGATCAACGTTACTAACCAGTACCTCACACTGTGATACCTCAAACTCCTTTCCACCACCTCTCAATGTATGCCAGAGATGAGATATGTCTTGTCAAGATAATTACTTCAATTTAATTCAAATTGTGTGTGTATATGTATGTTTACATCTAATGTAAACATGTATATTTTAATTCAATGACCGACCTAAAAATATTTCTGCAAAATTGAAAAAAAAATAAAATAAAATAAAAAAATAACTAAATAAATCTATTTATTATATAATAATTTCTGATAAGTTCAATAAAGTCTCATAACCATCTGTTTTTTAGGGTTAAAAAATATTAATTGTTTCTTTTTTTGTCTCCAAATTTAACATTTTATTGCTCAGCCTGATTTTTTTTAGCTTGGTTGGTTGGTTTTCTACAGCTTATCAAGCTTTCCTAGATTATTTAAAAACAGAAAATATTTTTAGATGGTAAAAATTTATTTTTTGAGATAATAATGGTTAAGTGATAAAAGTCTTACTAATTAATCTGGGAGAGAGAAGTGGATTCATGCCTTACCCATAGGGTATTTGTGTATAAGTGAGTATAATGAATTCAATAGGAACTGGGACTTATATCTCTGATTTTCCAATTCCAAGCCATTATCCAGTGCACTTCCCACACATCCAAGCTTACAACACCTACTTTTCTCAAGCAGTCACCCATCTAGATACTGACTAGGCTCGATGTTGCTTAACTTGGGTGATCATATGGGAACTGGTGTTTCAATGTGATGTGACTGTAAGCCATTGTCCAAACTGAGTGAGAGGGGACAGTGTGTAATGGACAGAGAATCAGCTCATCTTTTATAATATGGACTTCCTTGGGACATCCCATCCAGAAGGTTAATGCAGGAAGACACACACACATATTATATATATATATATATATATATATATATATATCATTGAATAATATAGATATATTATGCCTATTTTTATACAGATCCTTCCAAGTTCTCTAATCAGTTTCTTGATTAAATTCATTAAGGAAGACACCATAGATTTTTTTTTCTAACCCAAGTACTTTCAATTTTCCAAAATCTTTAACAAAACCAAGAAGCACTCAACACTCAACAAAATTTACTTAAAGTGTAACAGCAACATATTGAAGTGCATACAACAAACATTTAATGCCATTTTGCATTTTTACCAATTTCCTGTCAGCTCCCTTATATTGAAATACTTGTTTTACAAAAAATTCCATAGCTACAATGGATAAATTTTCAAACAATTACAGAGCACGTTTGCATAAAAAAAAAAAAAAAAAAAAAAAAAATCACCATCACAATAGAATGCAGATTTTATTGCAGTTGCAATACGTTTGTCTTTGTAATGATCTTAGAAATGATTGAAAGTAATGGGTTAGAAACAACTATGGCACCTTCCTTGATGAATTTCATCTTAACAAGAAAGTGATTAGAGAACTGGAAAGAATCAGTATAAAAAAATAGACACAATATGTCTATATTATTCAATGAAACATGTTTGAATGAAAATATGCTTAAATTCACCTTCATCCCCGCCGTGCCCCAACAAATCCCCAACTGATGCCAATTCAGTCAGGTTTCGATCCTAGCTAGAAGTAACTGAATGTCTAGCCACAACTGATGAGCTGTGATACATCAAAACAGTCTGTGGATGACAATATATATGCTCCTGAAAAATTTATTTCAATTGAGCTCTCTGGGGAAGAAGTGTGACTATTACGGCTAATAATGCATATATATATATATATATAAATATAAAAATGATAAATATAGTTTTAAGGTATGTTATATTTATGGGTTAAATTGCTCAATATCAGGGATAGAGCATATGTAAATATAAAAGTGAACATAGAAGTCAACACCAAGAATTTGACAGTTTCATGCTTAAATGCAGTTGTCAAGCCTGATGATTCTGTCTAAGCATGAAACAGACTGTTGCCTCTGGGTGTTGATTTCAATGTCCACACACACACATATAATGTGAAAAGTGTATATAAATAAATATATATATGTATAATTATTTATATATTATATGCGCGGTACTTATTAGAAGGCACTCAATATCAGAGATAGAGCTAACATATTTGGTTGGATAGATTTGAGTTTGTCTGACGATCGCTAATGCGTGAAACCGAGGGTCACAAACTCACATCTATCCAACCAAATATATATATATATATATATATATATATATATATACACTTGGCCAGTTATTCTTTTTTTTAAACAAGTTTCATTAATGACGGCTGACAAGGTACCGAGATTAAGTTTTCATTTAATTTTTATCTTTTCTAGACAAAGTATAAATAAAATTGTTTGAATGTTCTTTATGTCCAAGTACCTTCAGCTATTCTTTAAGCCATTATCAAGGATGATTTTTATTTTTAATGTGCTGACTGTGTTTGGAAAGTAAAAAAACATTCCTGTAACTCTAGATATATAAATAAAACATACAGAACATTCAATTAAAAATAAAAATCATCCTTGGTAATGGCTAAAAGAATAGCCAAAAGTGCTTGGTCATACAGAACATTCAGACAATTTTTAAACATTTTATGTCCAGAAAAAAAAAAAAGAAGCAATCACAATACCCAGTTAGTCATCTTTAACAAAACTTGTGTATTTATGTGTGTGTATATATATATATATACATACATACACACACACACACACAACAGTTCAAAAGTTTGAGGCCAACCCCTGGTAATTTTTTAAATTAGTCCCCAAAATAGCTGTTTTGTACTTTAATAAGACAAAATTATTATACATGCTTACAAACAAGTGAGATATGATGTTTTATTAGAAATTTTATTGTGACAAAAAGGAAAAAAGCATTTTATGATTAACTGTTGCTCTCATCAAAATATCCTTCTTTAGCCTTGATTACTGCAGCACAAATTTTTGGAATTCATTGTAAATGTTAGTATAAAAATAAAAGCCTGTCAATGTGCATAAAGAAAAATATAAATATGTGAATGACAGACTTCGACAACGGATACGGAGAGAATATTTTATTCGACTCCTCACTAACTACTCAGTATATACAAACATGGCGGCCACCCCAACTTCTGACCGGAAATCGCCTCACCGGCAGGCAGAGTTTTCAGGGGAGATCACTCACATAGATTAACAGTAAATGTTTCTCAAAATATAAGTTTGATAATTAATTCCATTCTTTTTCAATGACTCTAAGAGCTCCTTTTCATTTTTTTTTTTTTTTTTTCCCACTCTTCTGTCAAGTTCATCCCATGCTAATTCTGGAGGTTGCTTAAAACATTTGAACTCTCGTGTATACATTACATATGTACATAGGAAGTCACATGCAGACAGTAGGCAATGAATAGAGATCAGCTCTTTTATAATATGGATTTACTGAGAGAATTAACATTGCAGCAACTAATCTGACACAGGAAATGAAAAGCCTTGAGTATTAAAGCATTGGTGTATGAACTTGGTGATATAGTAATTGTGAGTTCAATCTCTGGACCAAGTAGTACAGACTTTGAGTAATACCAAATAAGAACAAAACTAGATATTCCAAGATAAGATTGAAATGAGAAAAATTTCCCCTTATAGATTAAATAAAGTGTTCAGTTTGAAGTTTCCTAAAAGTTACCAGGATCAAGAGATACCTGAAGAAGGTTAGAAAACATTGTGAAAACAACAAAAATGATTGATTGATTGTTTTGTTTAGCGGCATATCAACATCTATGGGTTATTTAATGCTGGAATCTAAATATTTTGTAAACAATTTTATTTTATTTTATTTTTGAAGATAATAATGGTTTAGTGATACAAGTTTTACTAATTAACCCATAGCTGAGGGAGAGAAGAAGTGGATTTATACCTTTCCCAAGGATATTTGTGTGTAAGTGAATATAACAAACCCAACTGGAATTAGAACTTGGTTTTCAATTAACAATTCCACTGCATTATCAATTACCAATCCAAGTTTACAGCACCTGGTATTCCCAAACAGTCACCCATCTAGTTACTGATCAAACTCAATGTTGCTTAACTTCGGTAATTGAACAAAGATGAGAAATCCTTTTACCACAGATGAAACTTTGTTAGTCTCTTCCTACTCTATTGTTATTTTCATAGAAAACGTTCAAACAATCTACAGTTCAGACCATCCATGACAGGACCTGCCATACCATATACATGGCACCAACTCATCTCCCATTCCATTTTTATTCATTTGATAAGAAAAAAATTTCTACTCAGTTTCTTCCCCAGAACTGTCACTGTGGAACAGTCTTCCAAGAGATTGCTTCCCCGATCCTTAACCTCTTCAAGTCTAGGACCAGCCATTATCTATCCTACAGATCCTCATAATTTCCCCTTTCTTTACACCCTTACAATGATTTAATTCTGTAATCCTCTATCTTGAGCGTCACTTAGGCCTTGAATTGGATGAATAATAGTATTAAAAAAAATTAGATTTAATGTAAATAATCTAAATAAAAAATGAAAAGGTATATTATGCTCATAACACAAGTTACCAACCAGTGACTCAAAGAGAGTCAGCTTCTTGAAAGTGACCTGGTCCTTAGTGTTCAAAGGCAGTAATGAGCTGGAGACCTCTGCTGGGGAAGTGTCATCAATGGAGAGGAGAAAGAAACATTCTAAGTGGTCAGATGTTATAAGAATGGCCAGGTTCATCCAGTAGCTCAAGGACTTTATCAATGTGTCAATGAAGGCCATCACTGTGCATCTCTAAGTGGCAGAGTCAATTATCAGATGTATCTGCACAAGGACAGCAGGTAAAATCTTGAAAAAAAAGGGTCTGTAATGTAATCAATCCTCACCTGGCATCTCGACTTCAGACATTTTCTCACCAACATAATGTAGTTTCCTATCTTTTTTCTACAAATATTTTCATGGCAACTGTATGGATGAGCTTTTTTCCATTGGTGCTTTGACTCCATGAATTGAAGCATGCTACTATATTGGCAACTAGGTTCCACTCTTATTATTGAACTAGCTAACTGCAACTACAACTTCTATTTTAACAGTTTTTCACACACTTCTCATCTGTGGAACTCTGTTTCGATTTCTTACTTCCCTGATAAAGTCTTTAAAAATTTAAATGCAACATCAATCCTTATCTTCTGTCTTCTTGAATCTTGTTCTTTTATTATCTTCTCTTTAATCCTCCTCCCTAAAGACTCCATTCTCTTTCATCCCCTGTGACTCCTTTATGTTCTAGTGGTATTATCACCTTGCCTGCAGTGAAATGATTGAGAAAAAAAAAACAAAAAAAAAAACAGTATGTCAAAAAAGGCCAGCATTGAGCACCTCAAAATTGTAGAATTAACGATCAGATGCATGTGTACAATGACAACAGGCACAAGTCTGATGTAATAAGGTGAAAAAAGTTCATGCCTGATAGGCACAATGTGATCAATTTGCTTGCTGAAAAAAACAAACACAAACAGCCTAGCATACTTTAGTTCTTCTCCAATGAGAAGCTATCAAGATGAGAACGTACAGGAAGAACATGTAGCTTAATTCATACTCCATGGAGGTACCTACAGGAATGCATGCCAGTTTTATATTGTTCCTGAGAACAATGAGGGCTGAGTCATACCCCCACTTCTTCCTACAAAGCTTCATACCAGTGCTGTAAACTTGGATTTACAGGTGACGTAATGGATAACAGCTTCAAATCGGAAACAGAGTTCCAATTGAAAGTTCCAATTCTAGTCAGGTTTATTATATTCACTTATGTGTAAATACTCTTGGGAAAG